TCGTTAGTTTTTTATTTTTTTTTCACTTTCTATAAATTTGCATTGGCAGCATTTGCAATCCGAAAATCGTCTGTGATTTCTAACAGTGTGCGTCTTTCTCTCTTTCTTTCTTTCCATCTTTCTTTCTTTGCCCTGTAAAACAGCAGCTATAAAATGTAAATGTAAAGTGCAACGAAGCTTAAACACTCTTTGGCCTGTATATAAATGCTCTTAAGCATTACAATTATATAATAAATACAATAACATTTAATCTTATTTAAGAAATAGCAAAACAAAAAACATTAACAAAGAAATGTTTCTGTTTTTGTTCGATAAAGAAAATCGGAACTTCCTCGAAACCGAAGACTATATTTCTTTGCTCCAGATATGGATGGCTTCACAAACAGGGGGTGAAAGTGAAGATACCCTATCTGGGATTTACGGGGAAGCGCAAGCTGATAATACACAAGATAAAGCCAATGAACGCTGCTGCTATCGCACGCACTCAGCTTCGCTTCGCTCTCTGTGTGTGTGGACCCAAAAGATTGTTTTGCTGTTATTGTTGTTGTTTGTATTGCTGTCTGCTTTGTTACTGCTATTTTTGTCTTTGTCGCAGTCGCAGTGTTGTTAATTGCTGTTGTTGCCGTTGCTAATGCTTCTTCCTCGGGGTGTGCTCAATTTATATGTATGTGTATGTGTACTTATATGTGTATGTATATGTGTAAGCACTTTGCACTCTCTCTTGTACTCTATGAGAATTGAAGTCAAAGCAAACCAACGATAGAGCAAAAGATCGGCTCTGACCTTACATTTACACACACACACACGCACTGGCAACTAATAATCAAGAAGCAGTTAAATGGCAAACAAGTGGAAAAAAAAGAAGCAGGTCCAATGAACAAACGTTGGTGCAAATAAAACCAATCTGTGATAGTCTCTCTCTCTCTCTCTCGCTCTCTGGCCAAAAGCGAAGCACTCGAATTCAAATTCGCGTTTTGAGGTTACACCAACAACTACATAAACATAAGCAATTTGCGCTGCTGCAAATGTTCAGCACAAAACACAAACTAAGAAAAAAACTGAAAAAGCAAAGAATCAACCTCAACCTCAAAACAACAGCTGTTAACCGACTAAAATAATACGGTCGTGTGTATGCATGTACATATGTACAATATAATATAAATATGTGTGTGCATGTATTTTTGTTTAGTTGTGCATAAAACTTGATGGAAAAAATCTAATTAATTTGAATGCTGCTGTGCGTTTTGCAAATGTTTCGAAAGCGACAACCGCATTTTTGCCGTCTTACTTTAAGCTGATGGCTCGATCTTGATGAGAATTATTTAATTAATGTGCAGATTTCATTTTAATTTTTTCATTCCATTTTCCAAGTATTTCAAAATCTCCATTCCAATCGCTAATATACTTTTGATTGACCTTCTACAGTTTTATGTTTATTTGTATAGTTCTCTAACAGCCTGACAATTGTTCGGGTCAATAACATTTAATTTATGTCATTTGAGCGTTGTTTGAATTATCGAAATTCCTGTTCCTACAAATTAGATATACTACTTTTATCTGGTTATATTGAAAGTGTATTTCTCTAATATAGATATAGTTTTGATTTTATGCAGATTTTAAAAGGTTCATCCTTGAAGGGTCGCTGAACTTTTGCAACTCTTGATTCCATTGTTTATTTATTTTATTTAATTATTCAATTCAAATGTATTTCTTTAGTTCTATTTCCTGGTCATTTCCCACGCACTTATGCTTTATCTCCGTCGATTTATTATCATTTCATTTTTGGCAATCCTGTTCTATCAATTGTTCTGGTTATATTTTAACATATTTCGTTCATTGACCCTTTTTATACGAATTTTTTAATATAGAATATGTCTATGGCATTTTGAAAGTATTATTTTATTCCATTTGGCTTTTTTAATGCATGCACCTGTGGACGAAAAAATAGCTCCACAAACAGAAAACTGTCTTCGTTAGATGATCTTTTTTGTTTCATTAAATCAATGAAATGAAATGTAGAAAATATAAAGTATTTATAATATTATGTAGCGAAAATATAGTATATATAATATTATGTATAGAATTTTATGCTTTTCAAAAAAATATTTGCCAAAAATTATCTTCGTTATGCATAAAAAAAAAATTATTTAAAAATTAGTAAAGTTCTACAAGTATTTTTATGAATGAAAATATATTTTCGCCAAAAATGGCAGCAATTTTATTTTTGTAATAACTTATAAACCACATAATAGTATTGCCTTATTTTTTCCCGTCCGTGTATATAAATAATATTAATCTAAAATAAGACCGATCTGAATTAAATTCACTTTCACTTAATGCTGATTTTTTTGTTTTTGTTTTTTTTTCTTCTTATACAAATATTTAAATATATTTACGTGTGAAATTAAAAAACATTTCCTGCTTGGTTTTAAGTCTGCTTGATTACAAAAAGAACAGAGGAAATCATTTTCAATATTTGCCAACTTGCTTTAAGTACTTAAGAATTATTATTTGTATTTATTTTATTTATTTTGCTGTTGCGCCCGAGTCAAACCAAACTCATCAATCAGGCAATTCAGACCAGATCACGTATTGTTCTGAGTTGAAGTGAGTGAAGTGCCACTTGCCACATATGTATGTATCTACATACATACATATATACATAGTGTGTGATAGTTACCACAAATGTGTAAGTACGCTGTTCTGCCATTTGACTTTTATTTTTGGACTAAACAACAATGTCCAAAACACAACCTTAACAACCAACAAACCAACAACCAGAACAAGCAACTAGAAAAACCGGTTTCATGTTGATAGAACCATGATGTTGCACGTTTGGCGATCGGGTTCGAGTTCGAAGCTTGTTGTTCTCGCTTAATATGGAGCACAAGTTTTTCTGGGGCTGCAGCAACACCTTGCAAAATCTAAATAATCTAGAGTGATCGACACGAGTGAGTGCCCGACTAAAATATACCCTGTAAACACATTTTAATTAATTTACTTCCTGTTTCGTCAAATTGATTTCTTAAATAACTCTGTCATTAATAAATATGTTTATAAACATGCTGTGAATATACAAATTACGAAATTGAATGATTTTAAATTGTTAATCGCTTCTTGGGCAATCCATAATCAGCAAATAACGTAACCAAAACAGAATACTCGACACTCGATGCGATCGCATATAACACAAATTCGCTCAGCCTTATGAATCTCCTTTTTCATCGATTTTAAATAGGTTTAGCGTATAAGAGACTCACACCCATGCACGAGGCTATTTTAGGAAACCTACACACACACACATATACATTTATATATAAATATATATACATATATGTAATGTATACAGTCAATCACTTCCTGAAGCGCAGAGCAGCGCAGCATCAACAAGCTCCATAAATGACACATTTTTAGAAGCAGAACCAGAGCGTGAGAGAGAGCTAGAGCGAGTGCGAATGAGAGAGCGAGGGAGATAGTGTGAGAGCCGAGCCCAGTCAGGAAGTCTAAAAATGAACGAAACCGGTGCAAGCCGATTCAAGTCGAGTCGTGTCGAGCCTTTCTGCTGGTGATTGAACGCTCTCAAGGATAGCTTTACATACAGTGCATCAGGTAGGTACAAATGTACCTAAGTGCGTACACATGTACCTAAATGTACACATGTGTACCTACACAAGTAATTAAGAGGGCGTTGCGTTGCCAACGGAAGAGGAGAGGGGGGAGGGGGAGTTAACTCACTTGACAATGGCGGAAGCGTTTTCAATACACAAAAAAAAAGAAAAAGAAAAAAATTAAAACGTGATTTCAGGCCCGTAAAATTTGTTGAGTGCCATTACCAATGTTAACATTAGCAGTCGAAAATCTGAGAGCAACGTGGCCCAAATACGAATCAACGTATTATAAAAAATCATAAAATGCTCGCTAAAAATACTTTGCTACTCACTTCAAAAATAAAAAATAAAAAACTCACACACAAAAGCATACACACGCAGTTGTGTCTCTTATTTGTGTCTCTGATAAGATAATGAAAACAGGGGAAGTGAATCAATGCAAAATGTGTTCACAAAGTACCACGTCCATGATAAGTAATTATAATAATTATATCTCTAAAGAACTTGGGATTTCTTTTTGAATATGCTTCATATTTTTTCTTGATATATATATATATTTTTTTTTTTGTTAACAAATTCCTTTGTTATTGGTGGTCAATGGCCAGCTGTTAATAACAGTAAAAGATGAGTAAGACAGCATTAGTCGACTAGTTCGACTACCAAATACCCTGCACAGGTTTCCACTAAATCAAATATAATTATCATTTGCAATTACAACAAAAAAGCCAACTATTTCTTTTTAATTTTAGCAATGCTGAAGTACGAACTTCTAAAAAAAATTAAGGCCAACTTGAAAGCACATTGTAACAAATAAAAATAAACACAGAAATATGGCAATAAGTTTTAAATAAACACTTTTTTTTTAGTATTTGCCTGTCAAAACCAACAGAAATTCTGTAAGTAAGTTATTATTGTTTGTGTAATACAAATTTGAAACTAACACACAAACACCCACACAACTTACACACACATACGCACGCACAAATGCAACAGTGCCATTTGCCAATGTCAAAGTAATATAGTCAAAGCTTAAGAACTTTATTATGCAAAAAGCGTGCTGCTTGCAGCTGTGCAAGGGAGAGCTTGGCTTATACGCCCACACTCACGCACGCAAACATTCACACTCGCACACACACTCATACACATACTACAGACAAACACTCACACACATGCATACCTATTAGATATGTCTGTACATTTGTATTTGTTATTGTTTTGACACACACACGCTCCCTCTCTCTCTCTCTGTCTCTACGTGAGTCGCTCGCTCTCTCAACATGTTTTGCACTCGTATGTGTGTAGAATATTATTGATTAGTCACAAGGCTGCCAGCAGCTGAGCCGAGCAGTGCGCCAAGCAGAGTGGAGCGGAGCAATTGCAGCAGGTACTCACCTTCAATAGGGGCAGGTTATTATCGCGTGCAGCATTGAATACGATGAATTTGTCATCCATTTTAGAATTGTGTTTGCATAAATAAAAACAATTTTCACAGCTCACTGAATTTTTTTCTTTTGTTTTTTTTTTTTTGTGTATATATTTTTATTTAGCAACGCCAAAAAAGGGTTTACAATAAATTTTCTGCTGTTGCTTTGTCGATTTTCACTGCCTATTGTTGTTGCTGCTGCTAGTAATTTATTTGTATATATATATATATATGTGTGTGAGTATTTTTCACACACAAAGAACTTCGACAAAAATAAATATACAATTCTTTCAATAATTGCACAATTATCGTCCGTCTTCGTTATGGCTACGTTTTTATTGGTCTGCTTCCGTATTTTGTTGCATTTTTTCTCTTTTGTTATTCTGCAGAATCTTCTTCTTCTTCGGCTGCGGCGACGACGACGGTCAAAAGCAGGAAGACAAATTTCTTTGTGCTATTTCTCTTTTGATGTGTCGCTTTTGTTGCTCGGCGCGTCTGCATTTAATTACGTCGCGCCAATCTTGAGACCGTTAAAACACTCTGTGCCAGCTAAGTAAGTTTCTTGCGTTTTAAGATTCTCCGTATTTGATTTAGATTGATTTAAAACACACAAACAATAAAGAGCGAGCGGCACAGGCACAGCGAGCGCGACGTCACGCACGAGCAAGAAAAATATTACTGAAAAAAAACCCCTGTTCATTTTTTTCTTATAAGAGTAATCGACTAGCAGCATAGAGATGGGAATGTTAGTAAATGTGCACGAAGCACTCTCACGACACTAGCTGTTAACGTAAATAACTTGATTTCATTTTAGAATGTTGTTTTATTATTTCAATAAATAATTCAAATTGGCTTAAGACGTATTTTCAATTTATTAGAACTAACGCCCAGTTAAAAAATTTATAATATTCATTTGAGAAAATTTGTATATATCATACACCACTTAAGGTCTGTTAACTCAACGATAAGTCGGCAAGTTAACATGCCTTAACGATGATAATGAGAACATTGACTATCGCAATATAATCGAAATACTGTGAGACCGTACGTAGAGTATCGCGCTGCAATCGATTAGTTGGCGCACATTTTGAATATTCAACAATTTTCAATGTTTTAAATAAAAAGTAAAATATTTCTCCTGGTTGCCAGCCTCATTTGTTAACCACAGCACTCGATTCATATTATTGCACTGAAAGAGCCAGCCACATGTTTTAAAGCGATGATATTTACTGGTCTATGCACTGAAAGAAAAAAGTCTACACTGCAAGAAGCCGTTTCACATTGCTCTAAATAACCACATCGTTAATTCTTTAATGAACTGTCGCTGGTGCTTAAACAAAGAAATTTCAAAGTCAATATATTAAAAGCGTTCTTTCTATTTTACAGCCTCTCCACAATCCTCAACATGCCAGATGTTTTTTTTTTTTGGCCTGCTTCTTTACATGCAGTTTTTAAAACTACTTATCAAATTTGTAATTTGTTGTTGTTTTGCTGCTGCTGCTGCTGCCACTGTCATTGTTGTTGTTTGATAATGTTGACTATGAATTTAGCTTGTTGTTTGTTGTCCATCCTCCAATTTGCAAAACAGCCAATTTCTACAAGGAATGAAAACGGCTCAATACGACTTATTTGTGGATTTTCTTTACGTTTCTTATTTGTTTTGTTTTGTAAGAGTGTTTATTAAAAAATTAATAATTTGTGGTTCATCCTGAAGCGCGACGTCCAAAATTATTTTTACTGTGGCTTCCTGCGGAACGAGCAGCCTGCAAAATGAAAACATCATAAAATGAGTGTTGGGAAATTTGATAAGAGATTTAAGGAATTTGAAGATTTGTTGTACCTTCTGTGAGCTTGGCCCGTCCTCCAGTAGGCTGGCACAGAATGGTGGCGCAACCGGCACAGACAACAACGCCCTGGGCGTGACTGAAAACCGTTGTGATCCTGTAGCAGCCGGGGCACTTGACGTCCATGAAATAGGAGTTGGGATGCTGCACCAAGCGCTTCAGCTTGTGCTTGCGTTTCTCCTCAGCGGGCAGAGGGTGCAGTAAATCTTTTGCTAGCTGCAAGTGCAAACAAAACCAAACACATTTCACAATCTCATTCAATATTTTTTTTGCATTTCACAATTGTCTGCAATTCATTTTTTTTTTTTAACAACGAACGCATATGGTGTGGGGGAGGGGTCAAGCTGTGTTGCTGAATATTGTGCTTTTTTTGTGTGTTATCACTGCAAAAGCATGCACCGTTGACACGACACTGCAGCACATTGCATGTTGCACAGTTTTTGCGTATGCATACGCAAATTTTGCTTGTTGAAAAGCATATTTTTGTTAAAATTTGCACCCACCGGCATGTTTTTTCTTTCACAGCTAACACGGAAAAGGAAGTCGGCCAAATCGCAGCCAACTTAACAGGCAGATAACGTTCACAAAAATACCAAAAACTACTCCATTTGGTATCAGAACGATTGGCAGCACTCAGGCATGCCTCGCTTGTTGGCGCCTTTTTAGCACTGGCACTTCAATCGACACTTTCGAGCACTTCACATCAAGTACGGAGAGAGACAGATTTGAGCTACAGTAAAATTAAAATGACGACTCTTGAATTATGCGAAAAATACTTTGAGACGCGCGATGTGTACAAACTGATGGGTATTGTGAAAGATGCCAAAGAGAAGGAGATTAAGAAGGCATACCACAAACTGTCGCTGCTCGTGCATCCCGACCGAGTGCCCGAGGCACAAAAAGAGGAATCCACCGAAAAGTTCAAGGTGCTCTCGAAAATCTACCAGGTGCTCACCGATCCGGCCAAGCGGGCCCTCTACGACGAGCAGGCGATCATCGATGACGATGACGAGGGCAAGCTAACCAATTGGCTGGATCTATGGAGCAAGATATTCAAGCCGCTGACCGTCGAAGATATCAGCAACTATGAGAAGGAATATGTCGGCTCCGAGCTGGAGAGGACCGACATCAAGAAGGCATATTTGGGCGGCAAGGGTTGCATGAATTACATCATGAATCATGTGCCGTTCATGAAGGTCGAGGATGAGCCCCGTTTCCAAGAGATTGTCGCCGCCATGATTGCAGCGAATGATGTGCCCGAATACAAGATATTCACCGAGGAGCCGGCAGCGAAGCGCACTAAGCGCCATAAGAAATACGCCCGGGAATCGAAGGAGGCACACATCATTAAAGAGCGCATCCAGCGACGCCAGCAGAAGGACGACGAGGAGGCGGCGACGGCCAGCGGCGGCAATTTGGAGCATCTGATTTTGGCGCGCAAAAATCAACGCGAATCCAACTACAACTCGTTAATGGATCGCCTGCTGGAGAAGTATGCCGGCGAGGATGATTCCGACATCGTCGATTTCTCTGCTGCACTCGACAAGACGAAGAAGAAGCGCAAGCCAAAGCACGCCCAGAATCCAACCAAATTGAATGGCGTGAAAAAAGGTCGCGTGGAGAAGCCAAAAGCTTAAATACATTAGTAGTTTAACCAACTTCAATTTCTAGATTAAGAACAAATTATATTAAATCCATTTAGTAGCTGTAATCGTGCTCGATTTATTCATTATAAGTGAAGTATATTTGTAAGTTTGATTTCCGATTTCTGATTTTCGAATTGATGGATTAGGAAACGGAATAAGAAATTCTATATTCATTCAAAATTCATTTGCTAAGCCCATTAAAATAGTCGATTCGATGTCTATGAAATTCCTAATAGCCATTACTATAACTAACTGAAAATAATAAGAAGAAAAATATTATATCTTAATTTTTGTTTACATAAAATGTTTCCGATGTTTGGATATCTTTCAGAAAAAAAAAAAATATATATAAATATAATCATTCAAAAAAATGTGTTGAATTATTTATAACTAGAATTATATATGCAATGGCATTTAAGCTTAATTACTTAATGTTTGGTTTTTAAACAATTTTGAAATTTGCGAAATAATTTTTGAAATTGCACAACATAAATCTTTGAAATTAAAATGGTAGTTATAATCATTTTTTTTTTTTTTTTAATAAAACGAGATTTTACAAATAAAAATCATCTCTAATTTGAATAGAATTTTGTATATTTATTAAATTAAAATTAAACTGCATACCAAAATATAAAGGACAAGCAAGCTGCCAACTTGCTTCAAATTGCCCAACACTCTTGTTGAGCAACACTACTAAACGAGCAACTCTGTCGAGAACAGTAAACAAAAATTTGTTAATAATTCTGCCCACAATGGATGAAAAAACACCAGATGCGAATGCAAACAAATGCCGAGTGTGTTTAGAGGAATGCGAGCAGAGCAAAATGCGAGCACTCTTCACAAACGCGGCGAGTGATGTGGTGGAAAGTGACGATTACGATAATCAGCGATTGAACCGTAAAATTGAATATTGTTGCGGCGTCAGGGTAAGCCGGATCTGGCAGCCAACTGATCAAACCACATGCTGAAAGTTCATTTTTCAGATACGCCGATCAACGCATTTGCCGTCCAATGTGTGCGAAAGGTGTTTCGATTTTGTGGCCATGTGGTACAACTTCCGGCAGATGTGCCTCAATTCCCAAGTGTATTTGGAGAGTGCGCATCTGCAGGCGGCGAAGCCTGACGAGCTGGTCGACAGTGACAGTGCGTACATGGAATATCTGTTTGAGACGCTCCAGCTGAACACTCATCGCTGCGACTCCAACGACGACGAGGAGCAGGAGGAGGAGGAGGATCTACAATCGGCTGGCTCTGCGGAAATTGATGGTGATTTTCATGTCGACTACGATGAGGAGGAGGCCAATGGCTTTGTGACAGACAACGAGACGCATGATCGCTCCAAGCAACTGCTGCCCGAAATGATCAATGAGCTGGGCGCTGCTTATGAGGCGCATGAAGCTGACGCGGCGGATGCTATCGAAGTCGATCAGAGTCTGATGTACGACGACGATTGCCCGACTGCCGAAGAGGAAGAGGACAGCATGGCACTCAAGGTGGAGCATGGTGATATCGACTTTGTGGAGGACGACAACGATGACTTCCTATCGCCAACGCCATCGCCAGATCCCAAGCCAGACACAACGACCACCAAACGCAGGCCGGGACGCCCTCGCAAGCCTGACAACGAGCTCAAGTCGAAGCGAAAAATCAAAGCCCAGAAGTACGCAAAAGTCGAGCAGCAAACCGAGGAAGAGTCCACAAAATATATGTGCAACCTGTGTGGTAATGTCTACCCCAAAAAGGCAGCATTCAACGCACACATGACGGCACACACCGACTACAAGCCGCACCAGTGCGAGTAAGTTGCTCCTCGACTGCAATAATTGACTACTGAGCGATTTAATCCAACTGTTCTTCGAATTCCTTTTAGAATCTGTTACAAATCGTTTCGTCAAATGGGCGAGCTGCGCGCCCACATCCGACGCCATACGGGGGAGCGACCGTATAAGTGTCTGTATTGTGAGCGGCATTTCTACGATCGCAGCGAGAAGGTTCGTCACGAGCGGGTGCACACGAATACCCGGCCGTATGAGTGCAAGGAGTGCGGCAAGACATTCACGCACATGGCCATCCTCAAGAATCACAGCCTGATGCACTCGGGCGAGAAGAATTTCAAGTGAGTACATCCAAGTCAAACTATGTTCAGTAGTCGCAATGTTTTTCTTTAATCTTTGCAGTTGCGCCATCTGCTTGAAATCATTCACGTTGCCCCATCAGCTGAAGGCACATCTGCAAACGTTGACGCACCGGAGCAAGGAGGAGCAGGCATTTGCGAGCAGCTCCAGCAGCTACATGCTGAGCCAGGAGCAATTGTAATAGATTAAGCTAGGCTAGGCTAAAAATCAATTGTAAATTATAAGAGAAATTTATTATCGGTAAATTGTACAGCAAAAAATATGCAGCTACCACAGGAGCAATTGATTCAGTTGGAGCAGCGCCTAGCTGCTGGTGTAATCGCCATCGTCCCGATTGTAGATCAGGATGTCCACTTCACAGCGATGAACGTGCGTTCTTTCGTGCGCCTTCAGATGGTGAGGCAGGCGAAAGTCCTTGTTGCAAGTGAGACACTTGTGCGGCTTCAACTTGGAGTGGGACAATGAGTGTGCCTTCAATGTGGATGACAGTGAGAAGGTCTTCCCGCAGGTCTCACACGCATAGGGTCGTTCATTGGTGTGCGAGCTGCAAGAAGCATTTCATAAGTTGAAAGTAGTTTACAACAACTCATCAACTTACCGTTCGTGATTCCGTTGGGTGCTGCGATCCGCGAAACGGCGTCCACAGTGGGTGCACTCATAGGGTTTCTCGCCCGTGTGGGTGCGCATGTGTGTGGTCAAATTGCAGGCGGCATTGAAGCGCTTGGAGCACAGCCTGCAAGTGCAAAAATGATGACTAGAAAATGTTCCCTTCGCTCACATCACAATTGCGATGCACTTACTCGCACTCGTAGCTCCGCTCGTTGCGATGGGTGCGCATGTGGGATTTGAGCTGTGCCTGATTGCCAAACGAATTGCCGCACATGGAGCAGTTGTGCTTGACCGAATTCGAGAGTTCCAAGGCGGCGGACAGATCAATCGTAAGCGGAGCAACAGCTGCTGCCGGCTCCATTTCATTATCATTTGTAGCTGGCTCATTGTCTGCATCTGCAACTTGATTGCTATCCTGTTCGATATTTTTATCCTCATCATTATCATCATGTTCATGATCATCTTCTCTACCAGATGGATCACCCACATCCATTGCATTGTATTCGCTGTCATTGTTTTCCACCGCCTCGCTTTGAGTCAGATTTAGCATACATTTGCTGACGACAAGCACATAATCATCACTGTCATCTGCACCTGTAGCCGACGACGACTTCTCCGAGGATTGAGTTGTCGTTGTTGTTAGCAGGTCGAGCTCCTCTGACGATTCGACCTCCTGTATTACAATGTCCTCAGGAACCAGCTCCTCCTGTTCGGTGGCATTCTTCCCCGGATGTGTATTCAATATTTTCTTTGATTGGTTTGGATTTGATTGGCTGCTTTGCTTACGCGCCTGTGTCTCTATTTCGGATTCCATATCGCAATTCTCCGTATTGGCATCTACGGCGGGCACACTCGGAAAGCATTTTCTCAAGGACATGGTGCGGCGCACCGCACCTCTCAGATGGACATCGACTCGTTTGCAGCCTGTAAGGAAGGTGTGCACAAATTGCAGATGCTGCACACACTCTACACATATCTGATCTGGCAATCCGTCGTCTGGTTTCACCTTGAATAGAATTCCATATATTAATTATGCCAGTTGTAAACTGTAAAAATATTCAAATATTACAAGAACTCCAGCGTATTCCAGGAGCTGTTCGGCTAATATTGAGTCTTTGAAGAGGGGCTGCAGTTGGGAGCTAGTGCCTCCAGTGCAGGTTCGGCACATGCTCCACTTTATGCAGATTTCCATTATTTATGCTTTCAGAATTGCGAATACGATTGTAAATTAAACACAGGAGTTCATTTTGCGCCACGACGGGACTTGGAGTCAACACGGCTTCGTTTAGTTTGTTTCCACTGCATTTGAAACGCGCGTTTTCATGTCAACCTGTTGACAGGGTTTTCTTAAGCAAAACTTAAATATACATTCTAGCAAAATCAAAGAAGACTTTAAATTATGTAAAATATATATTAAATAATATCTGTCTTTAATAACAAAATTAGCTCGTCTCAAATAGTTTTGTTCCTATTATTCATAGTAATCGCATCCCGTCAAATCATTTGACATTCACAGCGAAATAAAAAAAAATGCAATCGACAAACGGTTACACTGACCCCGCTGAAGTTAAACAAATAGTCAGGGAAGCTGAAAGTTATTATAAAGTTTGTAAAGAGGCAGTAGTATTATTAATAAATACAATAAACAAGTAAATAAAGTAATAAATAAGTAAATAAAATATTTATTTACTTACTTATTGATTATTATTATTGTGTTGCCAAATAATGGATCGAAATTCGCTCTGGAGTCGTGCTTACGAAGCTTCAGGCATCCCGACAACAGTAGTCTTTCAATTTAAATTAAATTAAATTTACACGATGTAAAAATTAAAAATCCTCGAATTTGACTCGACTGAATAATGCTCCCAATTTGCATACTAACCTCCTAACTGACTAAAGATGGTAGACAAAAATAACGCGCCAATTATTTCCGATGAAAACGATTTGCATCTGTAAATACGAATTTTGAAAAGGTCATGGAAAGTCTACGTTCAGCGAATGAAAATATCGACTGCAAAGTAGGCAACGTGGAGGAATTGCTATATTTTAATCTGATGGATTAGTGCACATGTAGACAGATTCAAACGGCTATATTGACTTGGCTTAACAAGAATTTAAATATACCCGCTTTATATCATAATTATTGTTTCCCTTGCATACTACATCATCACTTACAACACCCTTTTCTTTAGATATTGGGACATATCCGTTAATTAAAAGTGCGAACTTTTATTGTGTATATTGTGATCAGCATTTCTGCAATCGCAGCGAGAAGTATCGCCACGAGTGGGGCATATGAGTGCAAGGATCAGAGCCTTGTGAGTGAGTCTCAGTCAAGCTATGTTCACTTATAACAATAGTTGTGAAATCTTTGCGGTTGGTGCATTTGCACTACGCCCTCAGCTGAAGACGCATCAGCAGAGGAAGACTCGTAGATGAAGGAAGGAACAGCTCTTGCTACTCGATGCTGAACCATCTAATAACTAAATTGTTATAAATTAAAAAAAAACTTTCATATTAGTAAATCGTGTTATTTGTGGAAGAACTGAAAAAATTAAAAATAAATGTAAAATTTAAGGGAATTTAGGAATCGCAGGAGCGTATTCTTAATGATTGATACGAAATAATAAATATTTAGTGTTATACTGACTGATTGACAGACTTGGAATATCTCTTATAGTTATGGGAAACCCCGAAAATCCTATTTATTTGTAAATTTTGTTACATGTGCTTATTTAATTTTAAGTATATACATAAATAGAGCTTTAATTGCATTATGGAAATTAAAAAAATATATCAAATTTAATAATATTTTGTGGAACTTTGTTCCCATTATATAGAACAATCGCATTCTTTGATATCCAGCGCCCAATTGCCATTCACAGTAACAATTACATTATCTAGAACACGAAAAAAATACTTAAATACTCTCAGCAAACGGTCACACTAGCCTTATGTCAAATAAAATAAAAAATAAGTAAAGGAAGCTGCAAATAAATTAAAGACGCTGTGCTAATATATTATTGTTATTATTGATAAGAAGTTTACAGACAAGATCACAGCATGCCAGAGTATATAATATGTCGAATATGTTTAACGGAAGACATAAACGCTGATACCATGACACAACTCTACGACGACCAGGACGTTCAATGTCCCCTCGTTCGCAAGATCGAGGAAATTGGCAGCATTAAGGTGAGCAATCATATAAATAAAAATACATTCACACACTTATTGCTATTCATAATTATTTTAAATATTTAGCTGCCACCGCTGGAGGACATGCCAAGCCTTCTCTGTTGCAGGTGTGTCGGTGTCTTAACCAGCGCCTATAAATTTCGGGAATTGTGCCAGGAGAGCGAGCGAGCCTTTGCCAATAGCGTTGTGAAGGTAGATCATCATAGAACTCTGCAGTAAAGGCAAAATTGATTTAATTATATATTTGAGTTCTTTAAGGCTGAACTGAAATTGGAGCCTACTGACGATCCCACCCAAATCGAAAGCGACACTGTGGAGTACATCTACGAGGCAACCAACGAGTTTATCGATCCGGATGATGATATTGAATTCGATACCATACTGGAAGAGCAATTGGAAGATACCAATGAGCAGGCAGAGGAGATTAATACTGGCTACGATGATGATTTTGAGGAAGCCGGAGAGTTGGATGAGACAAACATATTGTTGGGCAATGCCAGTGACAGTGACTACGATCCCACAGAACGATTGCGAAAGCCAAAGGTACGAAAATCCAGACATGGCAAACGTGGACGGGGACGACCTCGTAATCCGACGCATTCAGTGCTGAAGCATGTGACAGCAAAACAAACAAATGCTGCCACTGCTGCTAGTAAATCGCCTGAGGAGACCTCTACAAACATCATGTGCGAAATATGCGGCAATATCTACTCGAAGCGTGCAGCGCTGAATATTCACATGCGTCGTCACCTGTCCGAGAAGCCCTTTGAATGCGAGTATGTTGTTTGCTAGCTGCACAAATAAATCAATAATTTTACAATATAAATCTTTTCCAGAATCTGCGCTAAAACGTTCGCCGGACCCTCTGAGCTTAATCGACACATCCGAGTGCATACGGGCGAAAAGCCATTTACGTGCAAATACTGTTCCCGCTCCTTTGCCGATCGCAGTTCGAATATACGTCACGAAAGGTTCCGTCTAATAATTTACTTTCTATTGTAAATATTAATACTGTTTTATGTTTATTTCCTTTGCAGAACCCACACAAACGAACGTCCTTTTACCTGTGGCACTTGTGGCAAGTCTTTTTCTTATTCGAATGTCCTTAAGAATCACATGCTGACACACACAGGGGAAAAACCCTTTTTGTACGTATATCCTCTTCGTGTGCAAGGATAAAATTCGCATAGTTTTAGATTTTTGTTTGATTAAAAAAATATGTTTCTTTTTGAGTGCTTTAATGCCAGTAGCATTATCATACTACATATATATTTAATAATTGAATCTTTTTAGATGCATTCCGTGCAATAAGACATTCTCCCGCAAACATCAATTGGAGCAGCACATGGGCACAATGACCCATCAGCAGACTGTTAAAGCTCTCCAGCCGAGCGACGCGATCCGACACACTGAAATATATTAGTCATTGTTTGTAATTCAATTATTTAGTTTTAACGTATTTGTAAATTAAAATCTTTATTTTAAATAGAAGAGTACAAAATTTAAGAATTCAAAGGCATTAACAAATTTACATTGAGCCTTCAATTTGAGATTGCGTCTGTTCTTATATCTTATATATTATATTCAGTTCTCATGACGATATCGGATATACTTGTAACATATTTTCGCATAACTTCATTATACTCTTTTTAAGGTAAAGTTTCAAATTGCAATTCTGTTGTATATCCAAATACTTCCTCTTCACCAAAAACCATTCACAACGAACTTCAGCTGCTGACACACAGCTGATTTTTGCTTGTAAATACAACAAATTGTTTTCAAAAATAAATATATACGTATGTTTACATATAATATATGAACTTTAAATCGGATTATGTTTTATTAAACATTCTAAAAATGCCGGTGCAATGTCGTACTTGTGCAAGCGTCATCTACAACATGAACGCCAAGAATCTATTTGAGATCGAGAACTCTGAAATCCTAATGAGCATTAAATTAGTAGCTGGAACCACGGTAAGGTTGTCTTTATCTGTACGTGGTGCATATCCATAATTATGATCATTTTATGTACAGCTTGAAAGACGCCCAGATCTACCATCACACATATGCGCTTGCTGTATGCTCGACTTAAAAGTGGCCGCATATCGCATGAAAGTATTCCGCGACCGCTGCATCAAGACTCAAGAGGAACTGCTTAGTTGCAGCTCCCGTTTGGAGCAGCCCTTTGAGGAGGAATACTCAGACATTGGCTATGATGATGAAGCGAAACAGGAACTTGACACTGACTACGACGAATTGCCCATTGCAATTGACAAACTGGAGGAGAACGAAGTCAGCGATGTTGAGGACGACGAGTTGATTGAATTTGAAGAAGACAACAACAATCCAACTGACATGGAATCTGATCTTAATGAGGACACGAGTGAAGATGTCGACTCTTTGATTAAGAGCGTGCAAAACGAAATTGACAACATTTGCAGATACAGCAGCGATAGTCAAGAGACACTTGAAGACTTTCGGGAGCTCTCCGACAACGATGACGACTGCATGGACTTATTTACAGACACTACTAATCCCACAATTTTCAACAACGTTCCGAATAAAACGATACACCAAAAAACTAATAGAAGACCCAACAGGAAAAAATGCAAACAGTTATCGACTGAGAGCAATTCGGATGCGGCTGGACACGACAGCAACACAATCCACAGAGTTAAGAAAACCTACACCAGTTGGAAGAATCTGACAGAGGAGGAGATAGTTGAACGCAGGCGGCAACGACGACGTGGTGACTATGTCTGCGATCAGTGTGGCAGGCACTTTAATGACCAGAGCAACTTCAAATTGCATCTTCTTCGACACTCCGGTGTCAAAAACTTCAAATGCGGTCAGTGCAGCAAACTCTACTACACGGAGCATCTGCTTCAACTGCACGAGCGGATCGTGCACCAGGGTGAGCGGCCTTATGCCTGCAAATACTGCGATAAAACTTTCAACAGCAGCACCACGCGTGTAATGCATGAACGGTAAGTGTTTATTTGATGCTGTCATTGCGAACTGTATAATTTTATGTATATATTGTATTTCCTGTTTCAGATCGCATACGAATACACGTCCATATTCCTGTGACTATTGCGGTAAATCATTTATTTCTGCATCTGGTCTCAAGCGACATGATTTAACTCACAACGGCGTTCGGCCATACTAGTAAGTATTTATTCTGAATACATGCGACGATTTGGTCCTAATACCATTTGTATATATTTTAGCTGTTCCATATGCGACAAATCATTTCAAAGAAATACTCATTTGAAGGCCCACTTGCGTTCCAAACTACACGCTTCGAGAGAAACAAACATCGGTTTATAGAGTGAATTCCAAGAGAAGAAAAATGCGCTTATGTTACAAAAAAAAAAAACATTAGTAGTAAAAGACAAAAATAATCATATAGACCTTAATATTAAATCGCTTGTGGATATATTTAATTCAACTTGCCAATAGCAAATCCGTTTCTAGAAAAAGATTCAAATGATTTCACAGAGACCAACTCCTTTTGGTATCCGTTACCCCACCAATCTCCAGTTAAAGAAGTTCAATCCTTCCAAACAGGTTAATATTTGTCAACCCAAAAGAGTTCCTCGTACTTTTTATTTTAAGTAAATAAATCGCTTATTCGCCAATTTCAAATAAACCAGTGTATACATATTTGTCTATTTTTTTTTATCTGTTTGGTATTATTATGCATTTTTTGTGTATTTTATTGTTTTCGTGATACGGTCGCGTTGTCAACAAATTGAACGAGTTTTAGCTGGGTTTTTATTGAAATGGAGGATTTTTGCCGTACCTGCGGCAAAACAGTGGATGCAGAAATTTGCATCAACATTTTCTCTCCAATGGGTCGTCGTCTTTTGCACAGCGTGCGCACAATAACAAACTGCTGGGTACAAACACAGTGGACTCTTAAGAATCTCAAATTGTTATATGCAAATGTGTTCTTTCATTCAGGTGGAGAACGCTGCCGGGTTTCCCATCTATATCTGCGAAGAGTGTCAAATACTGCTGAAGAAAATTAACTCCTTTCGAAAACGCTGCACAAAAATTGAGGCGTTCCTCACTAGACGTAAAAGTAAACTGAGCTCAAGCAATGGAATCTCGCCTGCTGCATCAGATAAGGCGAAGAGCAACGATCCGCTTCGAATTGAGGAACCGGATGAGCTTGGCACAACGGATATTAAGGTAGAGCCAACGACCACCACACATCTCAACCGGAGCGGCGACGATTGTGGTGGCATCGAACCAATGAGCAACTCTTATTACGAAGATCAACCAGATTCTGAAGGCTTTGACCGTTTATCTTTTGATGAGGATTTAGAGGAGGCGCCCACTGATGATGCCGCCAATGCCGACATGGTCCAGAAAAACTCAATCGCTGAAGTCCCTTGCAGAAAGTCCAAGCGCAACTACACGATGCGTGTGGGAAAGAGAACTATGTATATCAAGCTGACCGATGACCAACAGCCCAAACGCATTGTGGATCGCGAGCGACAATGGGCCTCGGCGCGACCCTGCATTTGTGAGCACTGTGGTCGCCAATTCAAGGACGGCAGCAATCTTAACGTGCACCTTTTGCGGCACACCGGCACCAAGAACTACGAATGCACCGAGTGCAATGAGAAGTGCTACACGCTGCATCTGCTGCGACGACATCAGCTCAAGCATACAGAAGGTCCATACGAGTGCACCTTCTGTGGACTCCAATATAGTACAAAGAGCTCACGTGTGCGGCACGAACGGTGAGTTAAAAGTGGGAGTTAGTTATTCTGGGCCTTAGAGATCACAGTGGTACTTCAATTTATTTGCAGTGAGGCTTGCAAGAAAGGTCGAGGGCCGCAGTCAAAAACGGAGCTCATCAAACGAGGCGAACGCACCTTTCAGTAAGTGTTATTTGCTATTGTTTAAAATTACTTAACTTAAGTATATCATTTTGTTTTGTTTGCTCAGCTGTGATGTCTGTGATCTTTGGTTCCTGCGGGCCGGCAACCTAACGCAGCATATGAATTCCTCCAATCACATTGCGAATGCGCGCTTGAAAACCAAAAAATTCCAATCCAAACAAAAGAAATCGCTGAACATGGACACAAGAGATGATGGGAACACAATTTTGTAACTTTGAGACTTAATTTAATAAAATGAAGTTGCAATTTAGCTGTGCTTCTAATATTGACTTAAAACAACTGAGAGTCTACCGTTCCCGTTTAATTTGAGTCCTCAATAATTTCCATCTTTGTCACCTTTTGCACATTTTCCTTATGCATTTTACTAAATTGATGCGAATACAAATTGAACTTGTATCGAAACAAGGCGTTGCAAACGTCACACCTGCAAGCAAAAGTTATTTGTTTGTTAGTCATAAGTAATTATTGTTTGGTTAATAGTGCCTTAGATTGCACCCACCTATAAGGACGTTCACCCGTATGGATTCGTTCATGCTCCTTCAGCTTGCAGCGCACATAGAAACCCTTGAGACAAATATCGCACTCGTAGGGACGTTTGCTGTCGTGTTTCACTTCGTGCTTCTTTTTCGCCTGCGGATCGGGGAATCTCATATCGCAGACCTTGCACTTGAATGGCTTCACGCCGATGTGCTGATTAATATGCCAATTTAGTGCATATTTTGTCGCGTAGCTCTTGTCACAATACGTACAAAAGTGACGAACTGTTGTCTTTTGGTTCTGGCCATCCTGCGATTGCTGATCTCCCTCTTTCAATTCGAGTTTCTTGTTCAAACGATTCTCGTTCCGATGAATGCGCGGCGATGCTCCATGCACATTCCTGTAATAACGATATGTATATAAATTAAATTTGATTATATCTTAACATGATCGACGTACTTTTCGTGCAGATAACGAGTATTGGACGAACCAAAGGCTTTTTTACAAAAATTGCAGGTAAATGGTAGCTCGCCTCTGTGCCGCACACGCAAGTGAATGTTTCGCATATACGAATCATAGAATTTCTTCGGGCATTCGGGGCATGTGTAGTTCTTTGTGCGCGTGTGGCGCAACATGTGTATCGTTAAATTGCATCTGACGCGAAAGGATGCGCCGCACTGATCGCACACATAATTAAGGGGCATCGCTCTGATCTGTTCACGGCGTATCCGATTTCTTTCCTCTTTCGTGCGTTTTGGTCTTATGGGTTTTGGCTCGCGAGGCTTTCGCTTCCTTTGCCTTGCTGCTGGCTTCTGCATTGCAACTATTCCCCTTTTCTGCCTTGGACGCGGTGTCTTATCCTTGCCCTTGTATTCATTTAAAAGATCTTCATAGATTTGCGCACCCAAGGCTATACTATTTGGATCTGCGGCCGATGGACTCTGCCCTACCACTGCCTGAATCATTTGTTGGCTCAAAGGCTCAATGACAGTTGTCTGGTTGCCTGTATCATCTACCGAAAATACTGAGACAAACTCATCCTTTACAAGCATATCTTGCTCTTGATGTCCATCCGGCTGCTCGTCCCAACCATCTCCATCTTCTGAGATGCTTTCATTGATAACAGCTGGGATTACATCAGCGACTCCTGCGGCAAGTTGTAGTTCCGTTCGTATACACGCTTCCCGAAATGCAATTGCTGTGCGCAGATTGGCAACGCAGCTTGAACACATCACGGCAGAACCTTCATCTTTGCACTGAATCTGCAATGAAAACAACACTTGTTAAAATTATCTATTTAGATAAGTTGTTTTCATCTCTGTCTTGCATATATACATATACCAACCCAAATTCCAGTAATAACTTCGATGTGATATAACATCACAGCGTTTTGCGAGTCACACAGATCTTTCGAGCTCTCATCCAATACAAATTGTGCAAAGCAGGTGCGACATCTCTTTTGTTCAACAAGCCTTTGATCCTGGCCACTGCTCTTAGTGCTGCAGTCCAGCTCTTCGGCGAGTGGATCGTGTTCAATGGGCGTGGGTGTAAATGGAACGAATGCATTGCCTGTGGCACTAACAAAATCAGGGACAGAGTTAATGCCGGTGTTTCTGATAAAGTTCGGAGCGATTACAATTGCTCCGCTTGCCTCAGCCGCCTCCCGCGCCGACGCCTCTTCGAGCAGTTCAGCGACCAACTTTTTGTTCTTCTTCTTTTCGGATCGCTCTCGTTCGAGCGCACTTATATCGTTGTTGTTGATGCAGGGCACGGCGCCTGGTCTCAGTGTTCGCTTTGAGCACAATCCTGCATATAAATCTCAGTTAAAGTTGATGTGCATACCTTTTGCTAATTTGTTAAGAGTAACACAAACCCATTTGAAATTGTAATGCTCCTTGGATATCGTCCTCTTTAAAGTGCTCATTGCAAATGACGCTCTTTGCCGTTGCCTTCAGTTTGTCTCTGCTGCTTTTGCGGCAAAACGCAACCCATTTTTTCAAAATATCTGGGTTTTTCGGAAAGCTAAAGAAGCTCAACTGTTCGGAGTGTTTTTGTTTTGACTTGAACTTGTTTGTGCAATTGTGCACCGCGCATTTCATTTTTAAGCTATTTCTTTTCTTATTTGTGACGTCGCATTGCAGACCTAGTGCCAGGGCTGCCACACATTTTCTGACCAGTAAAGCAGTAAAGCAATCGATGTTTAATCGATATATTTTTGTATTGCCGACAAATCTAAATATTGGCGGGGAAATTTTTTAAGCGCACAGCAGATAAAATTAAATATTAAAAATAAACTTCAGTCTGTTTATTTATAAAACTTTGAGCGGAAGTAGGCGCCCAAGCTTGACTTCCTATTGAAGTTATCATTGTAAACTTTTTAGCTATTTTGAAATTGGTCAATTAGATATACCAAAACAGCCAGCAGCAGATTTGTTGCATAACTGAAATGAAGAATCCGACTTCTCAGGCCACAATAACTCTCTATGTCTGTTGTGGAAGAAAAACGAGTACTATAATTAAATAAAATAAGTACCAGTAAATTACTTTTTATGTTGAGATCGCCGCAATGTTTAAAGGTATAGGGCTTTTCGCCCTGATGTTGGCTGCGCTTGTGCAAGTTATTCCACACACTTATATTTATTGTCTCCTGAAGTACTGTTTGATTGCCTGCCACGACAAATGAGATCCTGCTAAATTCTTTAAGGTATCTCTTCTTGGATTGCTTCCATTTTGGCCATTTTTACATTCAATGATATGCTTCTTTCATACGTTGGGCTTGTATTCTCATCAGTGGTTTGGTTGCCAGTCACAACTGGCAAGTGCCGAGTAATGATCTCAATAAAAGCCTGTTTTCTTTGATTACGGATAAGTGCAGAGTGATGGGAATCGTTTGCAGTAAAATTATTTTGGATTTGAGATTTAACTCCTCGCTATATGAGTCGGCTCTACTCGAGAGGAGTTGTGTATCAAGCAAATCGTGAATTCAATATTAAACGACTTTTAATTATTTTGCCTTTTGACTCGTAACTGGCACGCCCACATGTCACTCTTTCATCCTCCAATAGGGGTGCTCATAGCTACATCATGCATTCCGTGACATATTCAATTCAAAACCAACTCTACATTTGCTTGAAATAGGCAGCATAACTGAAATTGGAAAAGATTTTGCTGGTCAACTGCTTTGGCTGTCGTCAAATTTTAATATGCATGTAACCCTAAAGGGGCGGACACCGCTGCCCCGGGGGTCGATTCTGGCGATGATTCATGGCTCCAGCTTTATCGCCTCTGCGTAGATTTTATTTAGGGGTAGCAAAAGCGTTGCAGCATAACTTTATTATTTTGGGTCAGCATGTAGCTCAATCTCTCACTTGCCACACATTAAATGCAAACAAATCAGGCATCAAATTGCTTTGAACTGAACTGTTTTTTGTTGACAAGTTTAAGGTCAGCCCTTATGTGTGCTCAAATGAAAAAGTTTTTAATTTGATATTGTATGTAAAAATGCAATTAAAGTTTATTTTGTATACTACTACAGAAGGTAGACGAAAAGATAGAGATGAATATTATGTGGAGTCACAGATATCCTCGACATATCTTTTCAAATTTGTAATTGTGTTTATCTTCTGCTCTTGCCACATTAATCTGCATGATTATTGGCACTCGTATTCAATAAATTCTTAATGTGACATTGACCCACAAAACCAATGCCAGGCCAGAGGCCTTTGCTAAGACGTACGGGTGAATGCAATCACTGGTTCAACAAAAAGAAAAGAAAACCCCATGACTGATTAAATCAGTGATTAAGGTAAAAAGAAAGGATTGCCAAAGGCCGTCAAGGCGTTGAGGAAAAACCGTTTCTTATTGTTTACATTTCACCTCTGTCCGTAATTTTCTGTGAACCCGATCAGGGTAAAGAACGTGGATTGAGGATTAAAGACGTTGACTATACTGTGCTAATTTCAACGGAGGGGTTGCTCTATGTGCAAAATACGTGACACATTTCAACCCGAGCCGAAGGACCAAGGACTTATTGCTCTTGCAACTTTATTTGCCCCCTTTAATGCCAGTTATTTGATAGCTCGTAAATTTGTTCGATCGCAGACAACGATTTTCGCACTGTGGGAATTTCCTCTTGATCAATGGCTGCATAGGGTTACAATTCAAGAAACAGCATCTGGGATTGCTTAGCAAGCAAGACATGCTTTTATGTACCTACCATGACAATATTTTAAGTGCTTAATTAAGAGCTCAAGTTGGTGCTCAACACACCTTCGTACTAATGTGTTTTATCCAAATCGCTTTTTGATTTCCCTTGACCACAATAAAGTTGGCAACATTTGCACTTCCTTTTTTTACGGTAAAAGTGAAAATTATTTTTCATTGTGTGTTTGCATTTATGTAAATTAATTTTTTGCTTATTTGACGCGTGTCCAGCAAAGTTATGCCCTTAAGTGACCATTCTAAATGTTGGCAAGTTGCCAACAGTTTATCCTGCATCGTATTTGTTGTTTTTATGCTCTGAAAATTTGTGAAAAGAATAAAACGAAAACTGGTAAATATTGCGCCCAGAAGCATCTACAGAAACGCTTTAATCTCAGAGGTAATTTTATTTTAGGTGTGTGATTAAGAATTGGTCAAAGGTCAGTCACTTCTTTAAAGTTCGCATCTCTCTCAGCGTATATCCCTATACGCGATTAAAATAGGTGCAGAGGTATAAAAATATGAGCCATTACTGGCATATCTATCTATCCTTGAAAACTCTTTGTTAAATAAGACCAGAGTTTATTCTAGAATGAATTTTCAGTAGAGAGATGCAGTACATTACTAAGTACTAAAATTGGTGACGAAATTTGAAGCTGAGTACAGAGTATCTTCTAGTTAACTTTCCTCTCTAGCTTTTTTACTTTATTTTATTTGTCGTTTTTATTTTCATTTTAAATTTATGATTTTAAATGTTGGACAAATGCTACACTTCGGCAAAGGTTTCGCCTATGTTGTTGTCATGGTCACGAACATCATTCAAGATGGAAAGACTGGAAAGGGTAGACCCATCACAAAAAGGACAAAGGATACGGATGCTGGGCGACATTACTTGACTGTGTGTTAAATTGTTTATGACACACAGAAGAGCGTTGCGTGTACTCATCATTATTTAAGTGGCCTTCATCTCTTTGCTCGCAAAATTTTGACAAACAGGAGAGAAAATTTAAGAGACAGGAATAAATCTTGCGTTGAATGGAAAAGAGAAAACTGAATGATCTTAAGTTATATTTGGCGGTTTTTTGCAAATATATGTAGTTTCTCCAACAATGAGTAAAAGGCAAATAAACGGGACTATTTCGATGTAAGGCAATTCCATCTCAGGATTGCAAAACATTTCAGAAATATGATGAAGACCAATGCATTTTGATGAAAAGTTGCAGAGCCGTTTGCTCAAATAGCCACAAGACCGTAATGCTCAAGGGAAAACTACGCAACCCTTTGGTGCGGGCAGGATATTTTGAGATGAGACTACTTTTGCAGCAGCCACGGACGTCATTAAAAAAAAGGAATAGTTTTTTGATGATTTTTCTCTACCTGGAAATATGAAACTTTTTAAAATCAAATAGGGTTGTCAACTTCTTGACAAGTGACCATTAATTTAAAGTAGTCAAAGTAGTCAATTGTCTCATAAATCAAGCAAGGACTTGGTTCATATTACAAATTTTTAGAGTTAGTTGAACGTGTTGATATTTAGTTAGATGGCTAATTCACCCCTTATTGTTGAGATCTTGGCCAGCAGGCACAATAAACATTTATAATAAATTCAATAAACATTTCAATAAATTAGTGAGAATGTATTAGAAAAATATTTCCGGTACGCAAAAATAAAATCGGAAGAATATAGAATCGCAACCCCCAATTCAATATTAAACAGTGATCGCAGAACAAATGCTTTCAGAATAAAACTTTCTCTGATAATGTTGTTTTTCAGTAGACTGCAAGTTTCGTAAAATCCAACAATATTGAAGGTAAATAAATTAACTAACAAAACGTTTTTAATAATAAACGCAGACCAGACCGTATTTAGGAACAAGAGACTCAGAGAACAAAAATCATAGCTAAAATCTTGTTCTCCCCTTATGAAAACAAAACCATTTAAGAACTAAATAATTTAGATTAAGACAGATATGTTACAAATCGAATTCTGCAGTTGTTAATTATCTGGAAATCACATTGTAAAATAAAAACATGCTTCGATCATGATATCCTGTTCTACAGGATCGTTGTGCCAGCGTTATATGCCCCATTGCGCAACTGATAGATTTTCCCACAATAAAATAAAAACGCATAGAAAATTACATAAAAAAGAAATGGAAGAGTAAACCAATCCTTCCTCAATTGGATGCCAAACTCATAAGAACATATTTGTCTGAGCAGGCAGCGAAATCCTTTTTGTAAGGACACGTTTGCATGTGTGTGTGTTTTTATGCGTGACTGAAAGGATTGCGTTGTAAGAAAGAAGAATTTAGGTCAATCGTCTCGCAAAACGCGTATTTTCGACAACGTCTAAACAGTCACTTCGAAAAGGCAGCTGAAGATGATCGACAAAAGACCAAAATTAGATTAAAAAAAAAGGTTGAAGTTTGAAGTAATCGAACGCACAATTCTCTTTTGCTAGATCAATTACTTCTAAAAACAGAAAAATAACTAGCTGATTAGTTGGACGTTAAGTTTTAAAGGACTTTTTCAGTATATATTACCAATAAAAACCCAAAAGCGTTTTGGAAGAGCTCGAGTATTGCAACTGCAACCCTTTAATTATCCTTTCGAATTACGCTTTTATCTTCTTCAATCACATCTCAAATTCCAGCACATTTTACAACAATTTTCCCTTAAAAAAAGTTAAAGTATCGTGTGACATTATATGATATCATTAATTTTAATATTGTCATTAGTTTTACGGCGCAGACCAAAAAAAACTTGAAGTTCCTTCGAATGTTGAGCATTAAATAAGAAAATCGGTGAGAAAATTATTGCGATCGTTAATGAATCTCTCAGCAACTTTGACTAATTCATAAGGATCATCAATCAAATTGGACACTCTCTGAAAAGAGGCAAATGTTTATTATAAATTATTTGGCCAACTTCATTGCCTTTTCCGTTTGTT